CTTTGCTCATCAATGCTCTTCAGCATCAAAGTCGCATGGAAATGGAAATAATCTGCTTTGGCAACGGCAACTGCCGTCTGCAGGTAGAGCCTTGGGCTGCAGCATGCGGGTTGCTGCAGTCCGCAGCCTCTGCTTTCCCCCGCTGCAGCTGCAGTGATAGACATCTGTGTTCTGACAAAGCAATTGTTCATCTAAATTATTTATGGCGTATGGAGTATTCTCCCTTTCACTGTGAGGCATTTAAAGCAGACTGTTTTCTCTCTGTTTAATCCTTCAGAGGAAAGCATGTAAAATGGAGAGCGAGACAATGATAGTCAATATTTCACTTGAGCACACTTGGAAATCAGCATGAGGGGAAAAATAGGAAATTTGTTTGTCATGAATGCACTTTATCTGAGAATACAAGTTCCAGTGTGTTTTCACTACTGCCTAAAACCTTAGATTCAATATTAGAAACGGCTTGGTCTGAAACCTCTCTGATTTATCACTGAGGCCGTGCTTTAGGGAATCCTTTAGGGATATGAAATATGTCCCTGCTCCAAAAATACTTATGCAGATGTTTAGATGTTTTCATTCCTATTCATACCTGTGGGTTTGAACTTGTGTCTGGGCACAGCCTGTTGACCGTGGGCTGGGGGGTGGATTCTGTCCCGTCGCGGCAGATGAAGCTTTTCTCGAGACTTGTGTAGTAAGAGCAGCTTTGCTGATGGTGTGAACAGATGTGAAATTACCCTCTTATCCTCACTGTGCCACAGATAACTGCCGTGGTGGAGTTAGAGTAGTTAGCTCTCAGGTTGTACATTGTCTCGTGGTTCTTTGGTTATTTAGTTTTGCATCCCATATCATATTTTGTCTTATCCCTGGCCCTCTCAAAATACTATTATCATATTATCCTGTATTATTTTAATCCCAGATATCTCTCAGGAACCTGAGAGGTTTAGTTGCTATCGTTGCCTGCGCTGTGGATCCAGTCTGGCTCCTTGGCTTTGATGTTGATGATGGCAGTGAAGGCCACAAAACGCAACCTGATGTTAAATATTTTCACCAGCTTTAATGTTTTCTGTTTGCTGTTCTCAGGTGGGGAGTCCTTCATTTACTTTCACAGCGGAAAGAGAGTTTCTCCTCGCTTGAAGGAGCAACTCTTAGACCGTCCCCTTTCCTCCTCAGCCAGGATACTGAAATTGCAGTTGGGTGGTAAGGATGGGTTTTTCATTGAGAAACAGAGCAAGACCCAGCAATTAACTTCTGAGAGGACCACGAGATGGTCACTAGGTATTCTTAGGCAGCCCTTGATCTCTATTTCTTTGGCAACCTGTGACAGACAGGCTCCATGGTGTGTTCTCTGTCCTCTGGCAAGCCTGGGTTTGAAATCCTTTATTCTGCATGGAGAGGTTTTCTCCCTCCCTTGACAAGCAAAGGAGAAGGCTGCCAGCCAGCTGCATGACTGACGTGTACGTTTTCAATTTTCATAATTGAGTCTTTTGAGCAAAACCCGTAGGAGTAAAAAGATTTCAGAAGCTGTAGTTCTACACATCTGACCATTGGGAGCCTATTAACCGGGAGGCTTGGCAGGGAGGAGGGGTGACCGCTCCTGGCGTGCTGGGTACCCACAGCTCGCCCCGTGTCGGGAAGCTCCATCTCAGAGGAGCTCGGAAGGGCTTGGACTTGACAAGTAGCCCCTGATTTTCTCCCCTCTGATAAGTATGAGTTCAGCATTTCAGCACAGATACAGGCCCTGAGGTGCCTAAAAGCACTTTTTTCTCTAAAACCCAGAGGTTTTGAAGACTAAAAATGTGCTTGGGTAAATAAGTACCTCTAGGGTGAAGCCTGAGAAGGACCCTACCTGGGGTCAGACCAGGTACACAGAAGTATTTGGTGCAAGACACAGCACAAGCCATTCCCTCTGTCCAGTGCGGCCAAGCCAGTGCTTCGGTGATGGCAGTTTGCTACAGAATTGCTCAGCAGCAAATTGTAAGGTGTCCCAGAGCAGACATTGCTCCAAGTAGTACCTCTGAGATGCCTCACCTGCCAGCCTTACCCCTTGGATGCTGCTGTTACCCCATGCCTTGCTGAGACCCAAGCGTAAAGTCCTGGTGTCAGAAAACAAATTTTTGCTATCATTTTTGTATAACTCTGTACAGAAAGCACCTTGGGCAGCAAACGTCGGGCCAGTGCCCGGCTTACGGCCGTGTAGTGCGGTGGTCTCCCCTTTTAAATGGAACTAGAGCAGAAAAAGGTGCTTGGAGCAGTGAGAGCGAAAGCAACTTTTTATGATGACAGCCTGTAATCACCACAGGGCTGCTTATAGTAACTTGCTAATCTGGATCGATCGGGGTGGTGACATTCATCTCCCGGTTCGTTTCAGCATGGTCTTGAACATCAATCCAGCCTCTGCCTGGCACAGTAATTGTCTTTTATCGCTCCCGCAGATTGCTTTTCCCTGGAGCAAAGTCCTGGTATTTTTTCATTACCGCAGCAGGGAAACAAGACTCAGCGACAGGGAGTGGTGCTGTCTTCACTGATTTTTGTTTTTTTTTAAAATTTGGTCTGAAACAAAGGTTTGTTAGTGAATAGCCCTTGCTGAGAACCTGTACCAAACTCATCACTACAGCACATGTGGCCTCCCAGCAGCTCACAAAGCGCCATGACTGACAGCTCTCATGTCCAAACTGACCCGCATCTTGTTCCAGCTTGTCTGGCTTCCTTATCATAGTTGCACTTTAACAGCGGGCTCCAGAATAAAACAAACGCCTCTTTTTCTCCAGTGTTTAGAGTTCTGATTTGCTTCATGATTTGAAATTTATTGTTTGGTTTTAAAAAAAAAAAAAAAAGAGGAAAGTTAGCAGCAGTGATAGACATCTGCAAAGCAGCTTCTTTCTGCCTCATCTCGGGCTGAAATCCTGGGAGCTGAGCGAGTATTTGCCCTCGTTCTGTCTGGGCTCCCTGGCCTTGTACCCCCATTAATATTCCTTCCTACCCCTGGTGTGTGCATTTCATCAGCTTTTGGAGATCACCAGGGAATGTGAGTGTAGGACAATGGGCAAAGGTAAAAGGATGAAATCCTGGTAAGGTTTCATGCCAATGTATCTTTCTAAATTCTTTTGGGAGGGTTTAGTATCAGCTAATGGACCAGATGAACTATGGGCCATCATGTGTGTTCTCACATCTTTCAGATTCCGCAGAAGGGATGACCTCAGTGGACGCTCTTGCCTCCCACTTCAAAAAGAAGCAAAATAACTATTTTTTTCCCAAGTCATTGATACCATGAAGCAAATATGTCACTGTATCTGGGGGACCGTGTGTCTGCAATGTTTCACTCAGCAGCCTCGGCTGCGGGTGCCTGGTCTGCATGTGCCAGTGGTGGATTTGGGGTCTCACTCACCAGTTTTAAGTGTTGCCCTGATCGCTGGGGGGTAGCACAGATAACCCAGCACCTTTATAGCTACACAAGTCATTGTATTCCAGAAGTATGCCAGACCAGCCTACACAAACGTGACAAGCACAGCGTAAATTTGTGCATTATCCAATCTCTGTGTGCTCATCCCTTCTAATTCCTGCTAAATACTCGCAATTCCATGGCTGCCAGGTTGTATCAAGAACCAAAGCTCCTGGGAAATCCTGCTGCTTTCAAATACATAAAGATAATTTTTGAGTCAGAGGCAAATGCAATTCGTATTGCTTCAGCCACGCTTGGCATACCTTCCCGAGCCTCGAGATGCAGGATGACGTGCTAGGGATCTCCGGAGTGCTTGGATAACCAGCCAGAGGAGGTCCTAGCAGGCTCAGCGCTTACAGAAATGAGCGCTTTGGAAGAGGAACGTGTATTGTTTCCATGCAAGTTTTATACCAATGCAGTACATGAGAAAAAGCACAAACCACCTGCACATCCCTGGGCCCGTGGGCATGCTTTGAAATAAGACTAGAAGGATGTTGAATGCATTTAGAAATGTGAAGCCGTTACTCCTCCCATACGGTTTATTGAGGATCTCAGTTTTCAAAGCATGAGTAGTAGTGAGGCCTGTTATTCTTTCCAACATGCAAAAGGCACAAGAAAGTCATCAATGTGATTCTGTGCAAAGTGTCTCTAGGAAAACACACAGCGAGGAAATGACAGAAAAGAGCCCCCGATGGAAGAGAAAGCCAAAGTGCCTTCAGGAAAGTGCTGAAAAGTTCTGAAAATGGTCGTACTTTTTCAGAGTCCAGATAGGCTCAGTCGGTGAAAGATGCTTTGCAAATCCGTGAAAGAAAACCCAAGAGACAGAGCCAAAAGGCTTAAAACAATAATCTCCTCCGTGTGCCAAAATTCAGGATGGAAGTCAAAATGATTTATCTCAGGAAAAAAGTGCAGCAGTTAAAGACAGACATTAAATTCTTTAAAAAAAAACCCACCAAAACCAGACGTAGAAAGTGGATACGTTCTAAGAGGAGCTCAATAAAAAATACTCCTTTTAATGAAAATAATTTAAAAAATGGATACTGGAAGAATGCAAATCCACCTTGACTGTGACCAGCTACTGCACCCTGCTCCCAGGAAAGCCTCCGAGCACAACACAACGCCTTCTAGAAGACGAAAGTCCCCACTACCTGCATGTGTGAAATGTGGCCAGTGAACACAAACGTACAGGACCGAGTATCCGAGTCCCATTAGTTAACCTGGGCATCGAGAAACTTCCCGGGGTTCCCGTCTCTCCCACTGGAGCCGGCTGGTGCCGGAGGCGGCGGCGCTTCCCGGTGGGTTCGGCGGAGCCTGTGAACCCCTGAGCCTCTCGCTGGAGTTGAATACTTAAACCTAAAAAAGGCATTTACAAGTTGACACATTTTTTTGTTGTTGTTGTTGTCTTATTTCCTTGCAGTATACGTTTCTACTTCTAGACTATGGAATGTTACATTAAACAATATAATTATTCATTACCTTGCTTCAAATTTCATTACAGTTACTGAGGCTTCATCATAATTTCACACAGCACAGAGACACCAAACTAAACACCAAGCAGCCAGCACTAAATGTATTTTTTCTTTAAATACCAATAAGCAAAATATCCCATTCCCCCCAGAGATCCCATCAGGAAGGAGGCTCCGAAGAAGGAGGGAGGTTTCCGCTTGACCAGCCTGAAGGCGTTGGGTACCACCGCGGAGAGGAGTGTGGTATGTATATCTCCCAAAACTTTCCTGAAGGCGAAGCGTTTTTGTATCCTGTCGAAGAAGGACTGTAGGTTAGGTCTGCTGCCATCTTCCCAGTATTTCTTAGAGAGTCCCAGAAACTTGAGGCGGTGCAGGGTAGCTCCTAACAAGACATCGGCCAAGGTAAACACGCATCCACAGAGCCAAAGTTCACACTTCTGCCCTGCAGAGAGAAGCGACAGAGCAGGCAGGGTAAGAAGAAACCCTTGGGTAGGCACCTAAAGGCTTGCTCTAAAGACCCACGAAGGCAGGAGCATTTGCATTAGACCTGGGGTGGTTTTTTCTCAGCTCTCCGGTATCCCAAGAGTTCAGACCCTGTCTGCCAGGCCATGTGATGAAGGATACGTGGAGCCACAAAGATGGGAATATGAGATTATCGTTTATAGCCCATGTGAAGATACCAATCGCTGTCTGCAAAATGGCTCTGTTGCCTCTCTCCCAAGTCAGGAGCAGGAGGAGATGGCATCCTCCCATACCCAGGAGGTCCCCGGAAAAGGGCCCTTGGCCCCCCTTGAAGGAAAATGTGGTGCAATGACCCTTTCTGCTGTCTTAGTGCTCGGGGAGAGCAGCAGTGTTTGTCCTTGGCTGTACGGGCGGCTCTTTCAGGAGTGTCGTGTTAACTTGTCCTATTTTAGGGATGTAAGAAATCCTCAGGAATCAAAACCATTTGCTGGCCCAGCCTGGCTGTTCTCCCTGCGTGCTGTCAGACAGGTCCTGCCTCTGCATCTTCTCCTGCAGCAGGGACCCAGCTCTGGGACACCAAAACCGGCAGTACATCTGTGCCGAGAGTCAGGCTCTCGGGGGAGGCAGAGCTGGGTGCGATGCTGGGCGTGAGGAGAGGCACCAAAGCACGGTCAGCCCTTGGTAAGGGGTGACCCTGGAAATAACCTCACCAGAGAGATGTCTAGGAATAAACCAAGCTGTTGTTAGGCTGGAAGAAGCGGGCTCGGGCCAGGATAATGTTAAACGCTCCCCTGCTGCCCTTTCAATGCTAAGGAGCAGGGCAGGGATGGAGCTAAGGCAGATGGAGGGAGGTGCCCGTAGGGAAGAACAGCAGAAGGGGTGTAAAACCTGGCCCGACCCAGCCTGAGCCCCCAGTTTTGCACCAAATCCTTAATTTTGGGGCTTTTCCACTGCCCTGTGGCTGTTGCATCCAGGAAGGGGAGAGCAGCACCTTTATTGGACCCCTGTGCAGGCACTGGTGCTGCCTGCAGGGCCAGGCCAGGGGAATTACTGCTAATTAGCAGCCCTCATTTGTAGCCACTTGGCAGCCTGCCCGATCCTGCTAGAGGCACAGCCCAAGTGGACAGATTGCCTATGCCTAATTAGTCAATAAATGTTTTCAGTGGCTAATGAATTGTGGGGTGCTGCAGCCAGAACCTCCTGGGTGCGCCGGGGACCATGAGGATGCTCTGGCTCAGAGGTAAGGGAAGTGGGGCTGAAGTGTCTGCCGGGCTCCGGGCACTGCTGCGGGTGAAGGAGAAAGCACATGTGAGGATGGTGGCTTTGGGAGAGAACCGTGATCTGGCCCTACCCCTCCTGGCTCTGGGCTTGCACCCACCGCTGATGCCTCACCAGGCTGTGGGGTGCCCCAGAGCAGAAGCATGGGCAAGGGCAACTCATCCCCTTTGCA